CACATATGGAGAATGTCTCTTCCTGCACATAAACACGAGTCAAGTGCAAAAGAAATTTTTACCATACAAATTAATCAAAGCATTTCACATGGTTGCATACCAGACCATTAGGAGCCTGCTTAAAATCTTCATGAATATAGTAAGATACGCTGGAAGTGATACTTCATTATTTCTTCTCAGATGGCCTAGCCATGAACTCGCATCCTCTTGCACTATGCGGTTAGCATCAATATTTTATATTTTAACTTTTGTGTGTAGGCAACAGCTTGGCATGAGCTTCAGAGTCATCAGTCTGGAAAGGGGCAACGTACTATATCTACCCTTTTCCAGTCATCTGGGACCTCACCCAATCTTTAAGACAGGGAAGAAGGATGATCCAGGAAAGAATGTGCCAGTTAGCCTGACCTTGATACCTGGAAAGGTCATGGAGTAGGTCCTCAAGAAATCCATTGTGAAGCACCTAGAGGAAAGTAAGGTAATCAGGAAAAGCATGGATTCAGCAATATTAAGCCATGCCTGACCAACCTAATTTTTTTTTACAATAAGGTGACAGGCTCTGTGGATGGGGGGAGATTAATGGATGTGATGTACCTTGACTTGATCAATGTCCACAACATCCTTATTAACAAGCTAAGAAAATACAGACTAGATAAAAATACTGTAAGGTGGATACATCACTGGTTGAATGATCTTGATCAACAAGTATTCATCAATGGCTTAATGTCTAGTTTGGAGGAGGTATGAAGTGGGATTCCCTGGGGTCTGTCCTGAGTCTGGTATTATTTAATATCTTCATTAATGATTTGGATAGTGAGATCAAGTGCACATTTAGCAAATTTCTGGGTGACACTAAGCACTGGAGATGCTCTAAAAGAGTAGGGCTAAGATCCACAATGACATGAATGGACTGGAGAAATGGTCTGCACCATCTGGAGAAATGGTTTGCAACTAAATGAGATTAAGCAAGGACAAGTGCAAAGTCCTGAACTTTGGATGGAATCATTTACATCAATAAATACAGACTCTGAGGAATAACTGGCCCTTCAGAGAAGGGCCTGGGAATTAGAGTGAACCAAAAGCTCAATGTGAGCCATCGGTATGCTCTTGTTTCAAAACAAGTCTACAGCATGCTGGGCACAGGAGTGTCACTTGCAAGTCAAGGGAAGTGATTCCTCCTCTCTATTCAGTACTGTTGAGGCCTCACGTGGAGCACTGTATCCAGTTTTGGGTCCTGCACTTCAAAATGGATGTGGACAGTTTGGAAAGAGTCCAATGCAGAGCAACAGAGATGATTAGGGGCCTGGGAAGTAAGACTTTTGAGGAAAAGCTGAAAGAACTAGGGTTTTTAGTTTTATGAGGATCTGATGTTGTCTGTGGCTGAAAGTTGAGCCTGCACAATGTTGTTGAAGGTCTAATACAAAAACAGTGAGGTTGCATAGATAAAATGAAGGATTATTTTGGCATGTAGAACTTTTACATATGAGGAGATTATAAATGAAAAATCAGTTAGTCCTGAGTTTGCTGGTCTGGTAATTAAAAAAAAAATGTTAACAAGTTGAGCAGTACCTTTTATACAGAAATCCTTGAGAAACCAAAGATATGGTGTTCCCCACAATGTTACTTTAAGCCTCCCCGTCCCTTACACATTACAGGTATTGTGGAATTACCTGGTTAATTGCCCAATTTCCTTGAGACCAGCTGCACATCCAAAGTAGCTATCACAAGATAAAAAGCTCCGATCAGCTATAAAGTTAGACCTCAAAAATGTGTACTAACTTAATAGCTGATTGCCATCATGTAGCAGGGTCTCCCCTGCAGCTGGGAGGCCTGTCAGTTGACAGAGCACCCAACTGTAAGACTGAACCGTGCCCAACATGAAAACTCCTTCTCTCCCACGCCCCACCCTCAGGATCAGCTGCTGTGATCCCCAAGGCTTGGGGGTATGTAATAGCCCTGGTCTTGGGGGATCATGGTTGCCATGATCCTCAAGGCTTGGACATGCTTAAAACCCCCCAGCCCACATGTGCAGCCAGGGCTGAGAGTCGTGCACCTGACGGGGCTTTCTCTGGCTGTACCCCACATGCTGCACAGCCAGGGACCAAGTGCTCCACCAAGTGTGGGGTGTTGCTGTTGCTGTTGGCTGCACATGGTCCTGCAGCTGGGAGCCTGCTCAGCAAAGGGAATGTCCAACCATAGAAGACTGGTTCTTGCTGATGCAGGGAGGAGCCCAGGATTAGACTCTTCGTACACTGGCAATAAGGCACAATTGTATGGATCATGCATTAGGTCCAGTTGCGCCTTTACTTCCATTCAGTTTTTGAATGTTTATATATACTTTTATTAGCATGGTTCTGCACAAAAAGTTTCCTTAGTTTGAGAAAGAAGGCAGCATTGAGAAACTTTTGTGCCAAAATCTTCTGTGAAATTTGATTTGTGTTTTTTATCTGCCACTTTTGGTGGTCCAGGAGCTCTCAGATTCCAATTCAGGGGTAGAAACATAACATAAAATGAAAAGTTCTTAGATATTTTTTCTCTTCTAAATGAACTAACTGCACTGTGTATGAAAGTATAGTCATGGGTGGGCTAAAAAAACATAAATTAATAAACTATTATCTGTATTTTCCTAAGAATGACTATGAAGGTGGTATAATTTAGATCTTTAGTGATCCACATTGAAAAAATATGTGTAAGTCAAGATCATTATGCAAGTTAAAGTGCCACAAGCCAAACAGGGAATAAAATTGGCATTGGTTATAAAGGCAGCTGCACACTCACTTCCTTAGCTATAGAAAAGCATCTGAGGGTGGCCAATTAGCAAATGAGCATGAAAGAGAAGAAATACTGGACAGCAGGGAATTCAGAACCTCTTTTAAAAGCTTAGACAATAATAGTGCTTAGAAAGGATTTGTCTACTCTATAGCTGAATACTTACCATCAGCAATAACTGTAATTAATTTTTTACCGTGATTTCTGTCAGAAGCAAATGCTACTTTTTCTGAGTCTCAGAAACAATGATCAGATACAAGAGTTACTCATTGTGATTTGTGGACCTATTTCTATGTAATAGAATCTTAATTCTAGACTTGCATTGATTTAACACATGAGATTTGGGGGACAAAATATAATAATACAGAGCAAAGACTTTAAAATACTGTAATCTGTTTGTAAAAGAAAATCATCCTTTACTGTTTACCAGCTAACATTTAACACTTAAATAATAGTTAACAAATGTTACATAAAAACATAAATGTACTTCAGTACTATGATACCAAAACCTAAGGGACAACTCAGTTAAGCAGTGAAGAAGAATTCTGGTCTCATGCATGTCAGGGTGCAGCAGAAGGTATGAACAACCATGCATTTTTAGCTGCTTTAAAGGGGCCAAAAAGGAAGTGGTTTTTGACCCTGAATGAAGCCGAGATGAAGTTGGAGTAGCTTTCTTAAACTCCTATTGCAACAGAATCAGGCAGATGTAACAGTTACTTGTATTGGTACCTTTTGATATTGTATTCTTGTTGCATCTATCTATACCCTGACAGTAGGCTGTGTTTTTTTCCCCTTCATTTAATAAATGAATAAAATATAATAATGTGACTGACTAATCCAAGACATGCTCATTTGCTGTACCACTAAGGCTGTATTCTCGGGCATGTTGGGTAAGTCACTGGTGGGGTTATTGAGGATTTGAACCTAGGTAACTGAAAGAAGAGCAAGTCTGAAAAAGAAGCAGTTCTAGATAGAGATGGGTACATTATGTTAATTTTGGCTCTAAATGGCGAGCTCGGGTTCAGACCAGTCACTAGGTTTGATGTACTTGTGTGTGAGGGTCCAGACCCCTCATATTGCTGGAGCTTAGTGTTACTTTTCAGAAACTGGAAGGATTTTGTTCAGATAAAAATTTCCATCAAACAAACTGAAGGTTTGTTTCTCTGTTTCCTTTGATATTGAAGCGTTTGTTAATTTGTTCATATTTACTTCAGATGAATAGCATATAAAAGGCACATATTTCAACCAAACTGCTGTGCATACCTTACAATGTGAATTATTATTAGTGGTTAATATTATTGTTGCAGATCCCAGAAGATGATGAATTGTTTATTGTGCATCTGAGAAGTGTAGCAGGAGGGGCTGAAATTAACACCACAAGAAACTCTGTCCAGATTATTATTAAGAAAAATGACAGCCCTGTGCGGTTCACTCAGAGTGTTTATATGGTGCCTGAGGAGGCTGATGTGCTACCAATACAAGTGCTTCGTGGTAAAGATGACAGCGGAAAAATAATTGGACCTGATGAATATGAAGTCTCTGTCAGTTACATCATTATAACTGGCAATACAACAGCGCATGCACAGCTTAATTTAGACTTCTTAGATCTTCAGCCAAATACGACTATTGTTTTTCTACCTTATGTTCATGAAACTTATATAAAATTTAAAATAATTGATGATGCCATACCAGAAATTGCTGAGACCTTTCAAATTATGCTGCTTAAGGACAGTCTGCAAGGAGATGCTGTTTTAATAAGTCCTTCTCTTGTTCATGTCACCATCATGCCCAATGACAAACCCTATGGAGTACTATCCATCAACAGTATTCTGTTTGCTCAGACTGTTATCATCGATGAAGACCAAACTTTAAGGTACTATGGATTTTCAAAATGCAGTTAAATATCTGTCTTAAAGAATTTATGAAACAGCTGACATTTAGGATGGTTTTCAGAGTGGAGGGGAAAATATATACACTCTTAAGCAAGTGTTATAACTTTGGAATGGTAAGTTTACTTGACTTTACCAATCTTCAGAGTTTAATATTGAAATCAAAGTATGACATTGTGCATCATTATTATAAGCTGCTTAAATTTATCTTTTTGGGACCAATATAAAACTGCTTTTAAAAAATTTTCTCTCTGCCTACCTATACATATTATGCAGGGGGCTGCAGGTCAGGAGTGAGGGGCATCATCAGGGATGGAGGGTGGGGGGCTGGGGGTTAGGAATAAGGGGGCACTGGAGGGTTGGGGCATAGGCGGCTGTGGGTTGGGAGTGAGGGGCTGGGAGAGTGGGGGACTGTGGGTCAGAAGTGAGAGGCAACAGCATGGGCAGGGCAAGGCCCCAGCATATCCGTTGTTCAGTGCCACAAAGAAGTGGGGGACAGCTGCAGTTGAAGCCATGTCCTGGTGAGTGAAGGGGCTAGGGGGAGCTCTAATTTTCTGTGATATACCAAAATCAAATGCCAAAATATATATTTAGAATTTATTTTATTATAATGACTGAGGCACTGGTAGGCTTCCAAATGGCTTTAAAATTGTAACTATATCAATAAAACATTGTGTTCACCTGATACCTATATATACAGTGGTGTTTCATTCCAGTTGCAGAAAAACATGAATTTGGGGTTTTTTAATTGGAGAATTTGGGATTTTTAAACAGAGAAAACCAGGATCCCTGATCACAGTAATGTTTTAGGATTAGTTTATCTTCATTATACACAATAATTAAACATTATTAGTTTCTCCTAACAAATGTAGACTTGGTTTGGAAATTGAGTTGGGTACAATTTACACAATTTTGTCTTAAAAATGGAATCTTAGATCAGTTCCTAAAAGCTGATCATTTTGTTGCTCTTGGAAGAGAACATTTTCAGGAATAAAGAGCCTCTAACTGAAGAGACTGGAGTTAGAATTACACTGGCAGAATGAAAAACTAATTTGCAAATCACACCAAATTTGTGTAGTAAATATGTGGTATTGCATTGCCACCTTAACACAAGTTTAAGTGTTCTTGAGTCAAGAGTTTTTTTTCAGAATAATACATGCATGGGGAGATTTAGGATTTTGAAAATTGGGGTGCAGATTGTGGCATATAATCACATACAGCATAACACATTTTTTCCAATTAAAGATAAACTGGAAGCTTTAGTAATATGTTAGTGGCCTATCACTATATTACTCAGTTTAAGATAAAGTAAAAACAAATATAACTATTGGAATATGCATTTATATCCTCCATTATAGATAAACTCTAACAAAGCACAGCAAACTAAGTGAAAAATAGAAAAAGATATTGTCTCATTAGTCCTGTAGCCATTATAATCAATGTACACCTCTTATTCAGATTCTTAAAACAAAATCTAGCCTTCGTGAGCATCTTGACTGTACTTCCAATATTTCATTGTAAGTCATTTCTACACCTGAGTTAGTATTATCCCACCTGAGTTAAGGTTTGTAGCTAAAGCTAAAAACAGTCTGCAGGGCTGTGAAATAGAAGAGTGACATTACCAGGAATGGCTAATAGACAGCAAAATTACAGAAGAAAGAATGCTTTGAATAATGAGACATCAGGACCTTCAAAAAAGGATAGAAGGTAGTTGACACGGGGACTAGTGTGTGATTAGCAAGAATCAAGGTAATAATGATGAGTCATGAAGTCAACTGACTGTCTCAGTACTGCCTGAATAGATATGCCGCTGCCCCTCCTAGGCAGTTAATTTTAAAGACTGGGTTGAGCACATGTCAAAGATGATGCAGTTTTACCACTGAATAAATGTTAATAGAAATTAGAATTATTTTTTTAAAGACTGAATATACTTCATGAACCCCAAGGCAATCATTCCCACTTCAGAAATATTGATGTTTTAAGTTTTGGTACTGAAGAACAAATGATGGTTTTGAATGAATTAAGAATTTACATCTAATTGTGCTTATTGAGAAGAAATTGATTCAAATTTGTGTAAATCAAACTAACTCTGGTGCTCAACCTCTAGAGCTGCGGTAATTAATATTATCATTACTCTTCTGCCATCAAATTTCTGGACCTGTGAGAAGCCCTGCAGGCTGGATAACGTGGTCCCATGCTCTGGATCAAACCAGTGTGTGGGGTTGCTTTGTGGCCGTATCTGACATGTGGGCTCAGACCAGAGTGCAGGGTCACTCCAAAGCTGGATCTGGTGTGCAGGGTCAGGCTTGGGATCGTACCCATGGATTGACCCCATGCACCCACTCCATGCTTGGTCCAGCTCATAAACTGATGCTGCCTGTAAGATCTGGCCCTGTACCGCTCATGGGAGCCAGAAGGTTGATCACTACTGCATTAACTGATTTCACTAAAGAAATGTAAACTGAACATCAATAGTTTATTTTTGGGTTTTTTTCCTCCCTCTATCTTTTTCACAACATAAAAGCAGCTAAGGCTGTGCCAGCTATGATTCATGAGCAGATGCTTTTTATGTTTTAGAAAAAACTTAACATATATTGTAGTGGCAATTTCCAAACATTCAGTTGAACCAAACTTTAGGACCTGCATTTGATTGGCATTTGCACCATTTAAATCAATGCTAATTCTACCTAAGTAAAAATAAAACAAATTTGCATTAATATAAAACCAGTTAAGCAAAATCTGTCAGGTCCTTAGAATGTGATACAGTGCAAGTCGGCAACATTCTGAGAGGACAGATAACAAAGATGTGTTAACTTCTGTTTTTAAACTTAGGTTTGAAGGAATCACGGTTGTAAGAAATGGTGGAACACATGGAAATGTTTCAGTTAGCTGGATTATAGTTCGTAATAGCAGTGATCCTTCACCTGTGACTGCAGACCTCACTCCAGAATCTGGGGAGCTGCATTTTGCCCAGGGACAGATGTTGGCAACACTTCCCCTGAACATCATTAATGATGATATCCCAGAAGAGGCAGAGGCCTATCTGCTGAGAATTCTAGCTCATACAATAAAGGGGGGTGCAGAAGTGAGTGAACCATCTGAGGTAAGTCTGTCTTTAGGTTTTTTTCTTCAAAGAGGGTCAGAAACATATTTTAATTTAGTAAGGATGTTAAATTAGAAGGGTTAAAAGATATTTTCACTTAAACTCAAATCAAGGATGGACATTCTTAGTATATATTTACATTAAATTAATACTCAGAGGGCCCATCTGAGATTAGGGTAATGAACAAACACCAACCCAAATGAGGGAGTTCTCAGACTGTCCTATTGATAGTAGTGTTCTGCTTCATTTAAAAATTCACTGGAGCTCGGCTTGGAACCCACATGCCCAACCTCTCAGATGAATGCCATAACTACCATGTAGGAGTTTTCTCACTTTTTTTTCTGGATTAAATTACTATTTAAGCATTTTATCCAAAGCAAAGTAGCTCCAAAAGGAGGGACTGAGAGGAGTCCTCAGTGAGAGGAGAGCATTGTATCTGTCTCCCCCTCATCCTGGGTGAGCAAGCCAATCTTTGAGCTATTTAATAAAAAAGGGACTAACAAAGTCAGAAGCTGTGTGAATCTAGCCCTTTGCAGTGACTAGAGCAGAGTCCTGAGGATCAGTGATTGGAGCAACCATATTAGCCTGAGGAGGATCCAAGACCAGTGTGTTGGGTCAAAAACTAGAGTGTCAAAGGCAGGGACCAAGTCAAGGTCTGAAAACCCAAAATCATAGGTAATACAGTGCTGAATATTAGGATCCTGGGGATAGGTAGTTGGAACAAAACAGGATCTAGGAACAGAGCTGAGGCTTGAGCAGACTAGAGACAAGACAGGGAGAGGATCCAGGATAAGAACTGGAGACTGTTTAAAGGGATGGGGACAGAGGCTTAGAGACTGAACCTAAAGGCAGCCGAAATCAAGAACAACTTCAGGCTTCTGAAGCTTGAATTGCCAGTATTTCTCTGAAGACTGTTCTCGCTGTTTTCTGTGCTTTAGCAACTAATCAGGTTGAGAGGTGGAATTAGTTCAATTGTGGCTAGTAGCCAGGCCCCTTAAACCCTTCCCTTACTTTGCTTTTCTTGTAAGTGCCTGAAACAAAGTTTTCTGTCTAACTGTTGACAGAACAGTTTTTTTTCAAGTTTTCATTTCAGAGAGTAAAAACTGAAGGAAAAAATAACGCCAATTTATTGTGCATCAGATTTTTTTTCCCCTTAAGTGTTCAGTGTAGCTGCCAAACCATAAAATCAATTATTCACACAGCCAAAGTTGACATTCATTGATGAGGCACTGCAGGGATGTTTGTACTTCCAGTGTTGTACCTACTCTGTACAAAGATGACTTCAGTCTTTGGGGCTTTCAGTCTGGCTCAGTGGTGGACTGATGGGGTGTGGGAAGGGGCCATGGCCCTCAGGTGCTGGCCTGGGGGGGTGGTGCCAGCCGGGCCCTTCAGAGTTCTTATTGTGCGATGTGACTAAGTATGGCTATGAGAAGGACCGAGGGGCGTGGGGAGGGTTGGTGCAAATGCAAACATTGAGCCTCAGGCACTGGAGACCCATGGTACATCACTGGTCTGGCTTCTTCCATTAGTACAAAATTCAGAAAAAAATCGGGTGAGGGTGGTTGGTTGGAACGCATGGTAACAATCGGAACAACTAATAGATACACGAGTAATATGGTACATACTAATGGTGGGGTATACAGTAATAAGGATATTTTTCTTTTCTTGAAGCTTTTGTTTTACATTCAGGACAGTGATGATGTGTATGGTGTAATAACATTTTATCCTTTGGAGAACCAGAGGATTGAAAGCAACCCAACAGGGCGTTTTTTGTCCTTAAGCTTTGCAAGGCAAAGAGGCACAATTGGGGTTGTGAAGTTGATTTATACAGCACTGTACATTCCTGCTGGAGCTGTGGTTCCTGAGCGAGCAAAAGATGGCATCCTAAATATTTCTGGAAGAAGCTTCCTCATCTTTCCAGAAAGTAAAACCCAGGACATCTTAAATCTACCGATAAGAAATGATGCATTTCTTCAAAATGGGGCACATTTCCTCATAAAGGTATTTTATTTATTTTAAAAATAGCAGAAAGAAAAAGAAATTACCTACTGCTTTTCAACAATGTAAAGTTTCAGTGTTGCTAGTAATGCCTTACTTTAATATAGAATAAGGATTACTGAAGCTGTACAGAAAATATATGAAGGAAATCATAGATCTGAAGAGGTATATTTAAAAGATATCATGCTGAACCTTGTGTTCAAGTAGTTATTTTATTACCAAAGATCTTTTTCTTGGAAACCCTATGGTAACTGAATGAATGTCTTAACTATTTAGCAAAGAATAAGTTTACTTTTGCAAAATTTAAATTTCCATCTTCACTCCAGTGGTGTAATACTTTCTAACAAGTGAGTTCTATATACTTATTTTTATCATCATCCTCATTGTCCCCATGATAAAGAATAATTGAGTAGATTTTGTATCTGTGCTAGTAAATTAGCATAACAGTGATAAAAAAAGATTATGATGATCCTACATTTTCATTCATTGCTTGTAGGGTCTGATCTAAAGCCTGCTGAATTCAAATGAAAAGCTCAGTGACTTCAGTGGGCTTCAGTTCAAGTTCTAGGCCTTGTACAGACATTCATTTTCTTCTTGGACAATTGCTGCTTTCCCAGGAGAAACCATGAGTGTACAAATGTTCAGATTCTTTTGTCTTAGGGTAAAAATGTTTTTTTAGGAGAAAAATAACCTGGGAACAACCAGGGTTAAATAACTCCTCAGGAGATTTTCACCTGGGACACTGAATGTCTGAACATGCTGCTAGTCTACACTCTTACAAGAGATCTGTTTTGGGTCATAAGTCAGGCTCTAAGTAGACAATGTAAGCCACATTCAGATATGTTGCATGAGGTACTAAGGGCTAAATTGTAATTGTTCCCAAATGGGCTACAATCTTGCCTTTTTTCTTTAGCTTCTTTGGTATAGTCAAGTTGGAGTAGACTTGGCTTATAGAAGATAATGGGAACGTAAAGAGCCTAAACAAAAAGTTGTATAGAGCATCAGATAACCTTTTTGGAATTTGCAGCAAATGTCTTTTGGATTTTCAGATATAATTTTTAAAAGGTTTCTTTTTTTTTTCCAGCTTCATTAAAAATGTTTCGCCAAAATATTAATTTTTTTCATAGAACATTTTGAAGGATTGTTTTCCATTGTAGTTTTCTGACCTGCTGTTCTGCTGATGGCTATCATAGCCAATGTGCTAGTTAAAGTTTTTGCATTTAAACTTTGAAGGACTGGACTTTCCTGCATTGAGCCCTAAACTAGATCCATTTTCTGTATTTGCTTTAGATGTAAAACAGATGTACTACGGATAACATTTAAAAACTTCTTTATGTTTATTATTTAAACAAGTGTGGGGTGTTGAAAAAGAACTAATGCATAATAGACATTGCAGAATTAATGGTTTTCAGTAGTCCCATGAGCTCTGTACAGCATTTCAAGGTCTAGATCTCAACCAGTAGACTTGTACTTTCTTCATGACCCATAAGGATCTTTGTGTTTGGATAAATAAAGCCAGAGGGACCTCTCATCATGGACAATTCTTTTAAAAGCTCATTTGGAAAACAGCCCTATTTCTCACTAATACAATCCCTTCAAGTTGAGAATGAGCTATAAACTCAGGGAGCCTAGTTAGAATGAGAAGATTACAGAGCTTGTACTGTACACAATAGACGAGCGATTTAAGACTTGGGAGGGGGATGGAGGAGAAGGAAATTAAGCTTGAATGAAGCTAAAGAATGGTTAGGAGAATCGGGGAAGTGAGCTGAAAATTCTTCAGTGACATACCCAATTAAATAACCTACTGTAGCCTAAGATACAACTTTTGGCATGTACAGGAAGACTAATGGGCTATTCCAAATTCAAAGGATTCCAGAGAACTGAGTGACTCTGAGTGAATCAGCCAGGTCAAGCACAAATGCTTTAGATTCCCAAATATAAAAGACATGATGACTTAACTGTCAACAGGGATACCATGTAAGATAAAGTAAACTTAGTATTTATTCATTTGTCCCATGTTCTTGTCTTCCCCCAGTAACGTCTATAGAAATAATATATTTCAATAATAAAAGTGGAGATGTAGCGGCTATTTTTTGAGGCAGGTTGGGGAGAATGTTGGGCACATGGTACTTCTTTCTTTGAAATGTTTTATACTGCATGAATCCATGGCATGAGTATTTTTGTTGGCAAAAGTTGAAAATATGTTGAGGAGGGGTTGAATATAGTACAAATTATTGAATTTGGAATATCAATTGCAACTTTATACAACAAAGATTTTGGCAGCCCACAACAGAATACTTGGATGCATTGTAGGAAATATGGAAAATAGAGCAGCAGGATAACATATAAGAAATTAAACAACACAGAAATGTTATGCTTCAGTTATACAAATCAATGATGTATCTTCACCTGACTATATTATTTAATTTTGTTCAAAATAGATACGATTTAAAATCATATGAGACCTCTAATCAGGGCTGACTGTTGCCATCATGATACACATGTGCACAGTAAGGACCTGATGAAGGGCTCAAAAAGACTCCTAAAAAGAACTCTACATCCCTACAAAAAAGACTCAGTTAATTGTAAAATTCAGGCCTGTAGTTTCCCATTGCACTAACCACAGAAATCTTCACTTACCTGGGCTGGCTGTAGAAAAGTTTAAAAAACATCCAGTTGTTTTATTGTTTTGACAGGAAGAATATTTGGAGGATCAGGTGTGTTTCTATCTGCCTTTCCAAATTCTTTCTTTGTTTACTGATTATTTCATATTTGTAACAAAGAAAATATTTGATGGATTTTTAAAAAAACGTGTATTAAGAAGAGGTCACTTATTTACCTAGTGAAATAATCCAAGCAATGAATTGATGAAGAGGGAACCAACGTAACCCAAATTGCTTCTGATTAAGTAACTAAATAGGTGTTTTTACTAGTGGGGGGTGAGGCTTCTTGTGAATGATCATTTTTATTGGACCAGTTACATGACTGAAATAGACTGAGACAAGATGTCAAATTCAGTATATTCTTCTACTTGTTCAGATTCTGCTCTTTTTGCAACTGGTGTGAATCTAGGGTGATGTTTCTGGTCCCTGTGGACTTGCTGAAGATTTAAGACAATTTAATGGAGAGCGAAATATGGGTGACTGAATAACAATAACAAATTAATTCAATCAATTGTATAACTTAATCATTCAGTGAGTTTAGTCACAAATTTTTTTTTTGATTAAGTGTCCTGTTTTAAGGGAACTACCAAAAACAATTGGGTCCATCTGTGTTTTGCCTTTTACCCATTCATAGACAGATGCAAAACCTGCTTCCCAAGTTCATCTAAGGTCCAGTTGTTATGGTAGGCATTATGTGTTGTGTAGAATGGCAGTGTGTGTTTTTATGTGGACCCTTATAAACTAAACATCTACTATATGGTTGTTTTAGCTTTCAGCCTTGTCCTGTGGTCTTACATCCCTGTCTTGCAGGTGAGAGCTCCTGGATAGACTGCAGCACCTGTGTGGAAACCTGATGTGGTTTTCAACAGTCTACCTGTATTAGGTTAACTGCAGAATCAGTGCCTAACCTGAAACAAGGCAGAGAAAGAGGGTGGAACAAACAAGAGGTGACAAAGCAGGGGGAAGATGGAGGCAATAGTAATAAGGTTATTTTGTAGTTGCTTGGGGCAGTAATTTGTACAAGTGGATGGTTCCAAATAGTTTCATTTAAAAATAAAACATTTAGTCCCTCTTAGCTCTTTTTAAGTGGCTTGGATTGTTGGAAGTTTATGTATTATTTATATGTCATGGATTGTTGGAAAATATTTATCAAACATGTTACTTGTTAATTGATTTGATTCAGAAATGCTGCCTTGGAGTCCATTCTCTTCTGTGAATCAACAAATAATATATTCATGGAGACATTTTGCAAAATGTTTAACCAGGTCTGGGACCAAGCATGATGCAACTGAGTTACATTAATATTTTATATATTTTGATTTTTAAAAATACATAAAAAGTTCCTTACTGAAAATAATTGACTCCTGCTTTTCCTTAAAATCAAGATCCATAGCAAAGGATCAATGTCAAATTAGCCACCAGAGGGAGACAGCATTGTTCTCTAAATGCAATTGAGACCTACTGTATTGTAATTACAAAGGAGGGAAAAAAGAATGATATCTGAGTTATATAGCTTTTTAAACACAAGAAGTACAAGAAAGACTTCTAAGTTCATACCACATTGTAGTGCATGCAGTGTGTGATGCACTGTTTCATCAAGTTCAAAGGAAATATTTATTTATTGTCTTGAGAAGATTATTTTTAATAACACCATTCATGCAACTTTTTAGCACCTCTTCTTTTAAATTGGTATGTTCTTTATATAGTGTTACCGTGGTAAATCTGATATTGCTTTTCAAGGCAGTAATCCAGCTGGATTCAATGGCAGGTGCCACCATCTAAGTGGTTCTATTATTTCTTAAAATCTCTGAAGTATCCCAACTGCACTAACAAAAAGAAGGGAACTATATTTATAAATTAATATAGGATTGTATTTTAGAAGTTATTTTGTAGAAAACTGGGCTGCCATTTGTTATCTTCTTTGTATAGCAATTCAATATTTTTCAATTAATTCAGTATATTTGTTCAATATCTTCATCAGTGACCTGGAAGAGGGGATGGAGTGCACCCTCAGCAAGTTTGCAGATGATACCAAGCTGGGGAGAGTAGTAGATATGCTGGAGGGTAGGGCTAGGATTCAGAGAGACTTGGACAAATTGGAGGATTGGACCAAAAGAAATCTTATGAGATTCAATAAGGACAAGTGCAAAGCCCTGCACTTAAGATGGAACAATTCCATGCACTGGTACAGTCTGTGGACTGACTGGCTAAGCAGCAATTCTGCAGAAAAGGACCTGGGGGTTACAGTGGACAGTAAGCTGAATATGAGCCAACAGTGTGCTGTTGTTGTGAAGAAGGCTAATGGCACACTAGGCTGCATTAGTAAGACAATTGCCAGCA